CCCCAAAACCCCAAAACCCCAAAAGCTTGAAATTGAATAGTTGAGATCGAATTAGATTTTGGATTCTATATTCGATAGGGAATAATTAGTATTTAAAAGGTTCTAGAATTGGATTCTATTTAATAATTGAAAAGATCCATTTTCCATAGAAATGAGTTCCACGAGAAGAAATTAAAAAAGAGACTTTAAAGCAAAGAAGGATCCTTTGCAACCTACCACCTCAACATCTAAGAACATCAATACTAGGCTAGAATTTGATGAAATTCACGAATAGATACATGAGTAAGAGAAGCTGTATATGAATTAGGATTAAGGCTCTCCAGTCAGAAAAGGTTAAATATCGAACTCTAAGGAAATTTAATCTGCGAAGAAATCCAGTGCAAACAAGGACTTAGAATCAGCTAATGAAGTTTCTCACACCGAAGATCATGTTTTGATGGACTTTGATGATGAGAGCAACTCTACTATCTACCATGTTCCTTCTTTTCTTCTAAAAACCTATGAGATTGTAGATGTAATATACCTCCATCTCTAACCACTATAATCTCATCTTTAATTTTAGGACAAAAAATATGATAGTATTGTGGCCTGGTCTCCAGACGGAGAGTCCTTTGTTGTAAAAAAGCAAAATGAGTTCTCTGAGACAATTCTCCCTAGATTTTTCAAACATAACAATTTCTCTTCCTTCATTAGACAGTTGAATATGTATGACTTCCACAAAACTAAGAGATCTAACAATGAACATTGCTTCAAGCACCCATTTTTCCAAAAAGGCAAAAAGTATACCGATTTGCCTATAATTTTTTATTTATAGGCATCTTCTGTAAGAAATTAAGAGAAAGAGCAACTCAACTAATCTGAATAATGATTAGAATACCAACAATCAATAACTAGTCAACTCAGTAGTCCCAGGGAGAAAGCCTCACAGCATCCCACCACATTCATTCCCATTCCCTCAGCAAATATAAAAAAGAGGTAACTAGCCTCTAAATAAAAGAGAAGCAGAGAATATTGAGGAGTTCAATCAGATTACTACTAGAGATAAGAGATCTATTGACGAATTGAACTAAGAGTCTTAAAATCTCATTAACCTTGTAAGTATTATATCTGCCATTTAAATTTTCTATAAATTTTCCAAATCATTGCTATTGATTCTCATTGATCATTGCTAATTAGTTGGTTTAAATGCAAAAAAGATTTGATGAAATCGATTCAAGATTGAAGACTCTTGAAAAAGAAAATAGAGACACCTAGATCAGCAACTGCCAACTTTAAAATGATTTGACTAAATCAAGAGAGAGGGAAAACATCCTTGAGAGATTCATGCTGCAAACCTTGAATTTCTTTACTCAATAGAACCCATCTCAGCTCATGAATCCTCAATCCCAATTTAATAATAATTCACATATAATATAACAATAACTTTAACCACCCTAGCTTCATTAGCAGTAACAACCATCACCATAATAGTAACATCAAAATTACTTCAATCAAGGAAACTAAAATATTACACTTACACCTTAGCCTTAAAGCAATGTCAACAAATTAAACTTCATATAGCAAGCATTTAACTAGACTAATGCCAATCTGTAGTAAAGCTTGAGTAACAATTAAAATAATGATTTGCAACTAAGCAATAATCAAGTAAGCATGAATAATGGAATGCACTTAAATTAGAATGAAGGTTAGCAGAATCACAATAACCATTTAAACAGATAGACAAGCAAATAATAGCAAATGAGTGAATCTTAAAAGTAACTAACTGATTCAGGTCCTTAATAAAGCAACTAAAATTCATCAAACATGCAACTACAAGATGACAACATGAAGATAATCCCTTTCACCAATATAAACCAAAGTATCCTTCCTTTTATATAAAGGTAAAGCTAGAACAACAATAAGGAAGATGAAGCGAGTTCAGTTGCAAGTAATGATACTAATGGAGATAAATTTGATTCAAACCAATTCAACAGCTACAATAACTCCTCGATCTCTAATAATTTAAGATTTGCTGAAGCATCAATCGGCCCTAGTCTCAATCAAATTAGCGCTTAAAAACCCCCTAAGAGTCAATTCTAAAGAGTTTAGGAGTAGAAAATCAATGCAAATACTTTGAATTAAGCTTTGAGAAGTGATGCTATGCAGAAATAGATGAGAATCAACATTAGAATGAATAATACTGAGTATAATTCTTACAAGGTACTTTAGCATTTAGATGAAGTCTTTAATTAGAAGGAAAAGCAGCAATCAACTGTCAATACCTCAAATGATTAGGAGTAGGCCAGAATTCAGATGAATTAAAACATCAGCAATAGCAATGAGTCAGAAGCGGTTCAAATAGATACTGCTCTGAGGAACTTAGAGAGAAGATCAGTTGCTGTAGCTTCTGGAGATTGTCATGCTGATGGTATAAGATCAGATTGCCATGTTACTGATTCAAATATGACTGCAATATAGTCATCTGTAAGCACCAATATCCCAGGAATTGCCCCCTCAGATTTATCACTTTCTTAAAAGAGATCTTATCTTGAGAGTTTTAAAGAGCATTAAAGTGTGGGGAATCTGGACAACTTTACAGAGGATGGAAAATCTGAAGCACCGATGAGAAACAACTTTGAAGGCTCCAAAAGATAAAGAATTCACCAAGAGAATTAAGTTTGAATTTTGAATGATAATCCTAATTCAAAGAAGAGCCTTAAGATATCATATATAACATTTATTTCCTAATTCTCATAAATTCTGAAATCTAGAATGCAGGGGTTTTGGGGTTTTGGGGTTTTGGGG